CTAGGCATTGGGATGCTAACCTCAATGTTGGTGATTTTAACTCACCAGCCACCTGAGGCTGTCCGCTCCCACAAAGATCCACAGTCTCAGAAACCCTACATAAAGCCGCCATGACTTGGAATCAACTCTGGTTAGATAATCTAAGATGATCTCATCTTGAGACCTTTAATTATGTTTACAAAGACCCTTTCTCCACATAAAGTCAAATTCACAGTTTCTGGGGGCTGGGACATGAATATAGGAGGGTAAGTAAAAAATATTGCTACAAAATAGAAACTTTTATTAAACAAAAACATCAAAATATGAAGCTACTGTTTCTCAACACATCCTCCATCTAACACTATACATTTCTGAAGGAACCCTTCCCTGAAGAATTTTGTGCTCTTTGATTTATATTACATCAAAATGGCAGTTTTGTATCCTTGAAGGACTCAAATTGTGTTGCTTTCTAATGTTCTTTGAGTTTGGAGAACACAAGAAAGTCTGAAGAGGCAAGATCAGGGCTGTAGGGTCGATGAGGTAAGGTTTCCCAATGAAATTCTCCTAAGGCAGCCCTCAAAGGACTAGTAGGTACGTTGTCGAGAAGGAAGGCAAAAAATTTCTCTGTGCAGCTTTCCTGATCTTTTCTTCATCAATGCAGTTATCAAATTTCTGAAAACTTCCTTAAAAGCCCCCATGATCGTTCTGTGTCCTTCAAGAAAATCTGTAAAAATGACCCCGTCAGAGTCTCAAGAAACAGCTGCCTTGAATTTAAGTGACTCAGTAATTTCCCTCAGAGGCCATTGTTTTGATTGGACCCAGTTTTTGAAGGTACCCTAACAAGATGAAGACAGGAGTAATACTGAGAGAACTTGTCTGCAGCCATCTGTTGTTTACAGAAATGTGTTTAAATACGTTTTATTGGGAATAAGCCATTGTATGACCTGGAACCCTAGTAGTAATACTTTTGGACTCACACACATATCTTTTGATGGTCACCTTTCTTTTCATTCTTTTTTTAAAAAAACACACTATTTATTGTGAGTTGAGTGAAGGTTTATAAGGCAGATCATCAGTTTCACATTCAACAAACCATACAGTCCATTTCATTTCAATGATTGCAATCTCCTCCACGTAACATCAGTGATCACACTTCTGCCCTATGATTCTTGTCATTATTCAACCCTCTTTTCCAACCCTTCAGAACTTTGTCTTTAGGTAAATGCTGCCCTCCTGGTCCTGAAGGTTGACCATTTTATGGTGTGCATACCTCACCAGCTTGTTGTCCCCTGTGTATACACACTTACTGCTTGGCTGGAAAGTGACCTACATTCTTGGTTATTTTCTTTTGGGATCTATCCTGTTCGGGGTTAGTTGTGCTTCTAATATGTTTATATTTTCAACTTTTATGATGTTAGAGAAGTTTTCTACCAACAGCTCTTTGAAAATTTCCTCTGTTTTTTTTTTTTATTGTCTCTTCCTGTTCTGAAATTCCAATCACCCATAAATGATTCTTCTTCATGGTGTCCCACAGAACTTATATTTTCTTTGGATTTTTAAAATTATTTTTTCTGATTGTTCTTTTAGTGTACTAGTATTGAGAGATTTTATCTTCAAGCTCACTGATTCAGGCTTCCATTTCTTCAAATCTATTCCTTTGCCTTTTCAACGTATTGTCCATTTCTGAAATTTAGTGTTTATCTGCTGGATTTCTAATTGTTAAATTTTGAATTGTTTGAAATTTTGCATTTATTTTGTTTGTTTGTTCTTGTAGTGTTTTCCTGAATTCTTCTCAAGTTTTTTCTGTGTTCCCCTTACTTTCCTTAATCTTTCTGTCAATCCTTTGAGGATACCTAAATACCATTCTTTTGAATACTTTTTCAGTTAGTTCCATAACCTTTTCTTCCTCAGAAACATTTTCTGGCTTTGCATCTTGTTCATTTGTTTGAGCCATTCTCTCTTGTTTCTTTGTTGTTGTTGTTGTTAGGTGCCACTGAGTCGGTACCGAATCATAGCTACCTTATGCACAGCAGAACGAAACACTGCCCGATCCTGGGCCAACCTCACGATTATTGCCACGCTTGAGTTCATCGATGCTGCTACTTAGCCAGTTCATCTCGTTGGGGGTCTTCCTCTTTTTCTCTGACCCTCCACTTTACCAAACATGATATCCTTCTCCAGCAACTGGTCCTTCCTGACAATATGTCTGAAGAATGAGAGATGAAGTTTGGCTATCCTGGCCTCCAAGGAGCATTCTGGCTGCACCTCTTGTTTCTTTGTTGTTGTTAAGTACCGTGGAGTCGGTTCCAACTCATAGTGACCCTACACAGGGTTTCCAAGGCTGTAAATCTTTACGGGAGCAGACCGCCCTATCTTTCTCCCATGGAATCACTGGTAGTTTTAAACTGTCGACCTTGAGGTTAGCAGCCCGATTTGTAATCACTACGCTACCAGAGCTCCTTGTTTCTTAGTGTGAGCTAAAATTGTCTGTTGTCTCTGGGACATTGTGGTGTTGCCATATTTGTATTAAACTGATGATTGTATGTTGATATGTTCCTAGGCTCTCACCAACTGCCTCCTGTGGGTGTAGTTAGAGAGGAGAAGTGTGTGCACTGTTCTCCGTTCATGCACCTTAGTTTAGGGTGAATTTGGCTGGTGCTGGCTGCTGTGTATTTGTTGATCAGGTAGTATTGGAGGTAGTATTGATTCTTGCCCAGTGGGTGGCGCTGCAGAGAGTATGGTTGTGGCTAAGCTGTATGGTCATAGTTGTTGTCTCCTGTCTGGTGGAAAAGAGGAGAAACTTCCCCCACAACACAAACACAAGAAAGCAAAACATAACAAACAAACAAATAACAGTGCAAAGAGAAAATAATAAAGGAGGAAAAAGAAATACAAACACGCAGCAAAAAGAAAATAGTACCTAAAAAGAGATAAGAGAGACAGGAAAATGGAGCTATAGAAGAAAAAAAAGAGGGAAAATAAAAGGAAGAATTTTTTTTAAAAAAAGAAAACACTTAGAAAAACCAGGGAGAGGAAAAGTGGAAAGAGAGAGAGCAAAGAGTAGTAAAGAAAGACAAAAAGGGGGGAAGGGAATTGAGGAGAAGAAATGAGAAACAGAAGCAGAGAAGAAACAGAAACAAAAGAGGTAGGATAAAATTTAAGGAGATGGAAAGAGAAGAAGAAGAAACAAACAAAATTGAAACAGTGAGAGGAAACAAAACCCAAAACCAGTGCAGCTGTTGCACCCAGAGAAGAGAAAACTCTGGGGGGCTCCACCCACAAAGTAGGTGTGGGAGGGATGTAACAGTAGAGTTCCTGGCCGGACAAGGAGTTCCTGTACGCTAGGTATCATCTGTGTTCAAGACACTCAATCCAGCATGGCGGCCGTTGATGGAGCTGGTTTCAGTGTCTGTTAGGACCACAGGGCAGCTGGGGACAGAGTGGCTGGCTATGAGCGTTTCTGTTAGACTAACGCTGGTCTGGTAGCTCCATGGTTCTGTAGGTCTGGAGCTGAACCTATCTGAATTCAGGCACCAAAGTGTCCCAGCCCCCGCCTCACATTGGAGTAACTCACAACCACCAGGCTCTGAATTCCCAGAGAGCAGGGTCTTCCTGAAGGTGGATGAGAATGGGCGTTGGCCACACCTCGTGTCACCAGGAGAGCGTGGGGAAAAAGAAGGAATCGCACCTTTCCTGTCATCTGTGTAAATCTGCTCTGCCAAGCCACCTTCAGTTGCTAAAGCTGCTCACAAAAGTTGAAGATGGTTGCAATGCATCTGGATGGCCGATTGCCAGTCAGTCTTCCTCTCTCGCCATCCATCCTCAGCTTCTCCTCCCAGCAAACACTCAATCCACTTCTCTAATTTTTCCTCTGAAGTTCAGGGTTCCAAGATTTTCATATGTGTCTGTTTCATTTGGTCTCTTGAATCTTAGTTGTAGAGGGTCTGTTTAGTGTTTTTGCCAAGTTCACCATCTGACTGATGGCCTCTTGATTTCTTGACTGCTTCTTCCATGAGCATTGATTGCGGATCCAAACAAAATGAAGTCTTTGACAAGTTCAATCTTTTCTCCATTTATCATGATGCTATTTATTAGTTCATTTATGAAGATTTTCATTTTCTTTACATGAAGGTGCAATCCATATTGAAGGCTGTGATCACTGATCTTCATCAGTAAGCATTTCAAATCCTCTTCACTTTGAACAAGCAAGGTTGTGTCATCTGCATATCATAGGCTGTTAATGAGTCTTCCTCCAATCCTGATAGCACATTCTTCATATAGTCCAATTTCTCAGATTATTTGCTCAGCATACAGATTGAATAAGTATGGTGAGAGGATGCAACTCTGTCACACACCTTTCCTGATTTTAAACCATTCAGTGTTCCCATGTTCTGTTCTAATGACTGCCTCTTGTTCTGTGTATAGGTTCCTCATGCACACAATTAAGTGTTTTAGAAAATCCATTCTTTGCAATGTTATCCATAGTTTGTTATGATCCACACAGTCAAATGCCTTTGTATAGATCTTTTTCATCCATCATAATTCCAAGTGGTGAGGAGTAGGAGAATGGATCTAGCAGGAATAAAAGTGGGGAAGAGTGTTGCAGGCAGGGGATATAGCAAAGGCCCTGGAGTGGGATCAGGTATGGTTTGATCAAGTTGCAGAAAGGAGAATAGATGTTTCTCCTTGGTCCAGATTCCTTGAAATGGGTCTAAAAATTGTCAATCCCTTAGTAAGATGTCCTTAATAGCCCTCCAGAAGAATAGAGTTTTATGATATCTTCTCACCAATAATTTACCAAAGTGCCTGTCTCACCACAGCCTTGCTAGCCATGGCTATTAATATTGCAAAGATATCTTTGCTAAGGAGATTTTGCGTATACATCTTGACTATTGGAACCATAGAATCCCAGGCTATAGACATGCCCCTGATGCACATTTGGGGTACTTGGTCAATGACAAGATCAGTAGTGGAACCTACCAACTCATACACATCTCTCCTACCTTCACCTCTGCTTCCAGTTAAATACGATCCTCCTCCCAGTGACATCAGGGTGTCCAGGGCAGCAGGTAAATTGCTCATGGAGTGGAAGACCCCAGTTCACCAGGATGGTGCTGAGGTACAGTTCCAGCACCGGACGTCTGGCCGCCCCTGGAAGTTGGTGAGTTTACTCCCTAGCGCAGGCCCCTCCCCAGTGCACCCTTACTCCTCAAATAATGCTCAGCATCTTTGCCTTGTCATTGCCCCCACCTGACCTCTACTCTTGCCCCTTGCCCCACTTCTGGGGGACTCTCTGGCACTTAGATCTGACCATAGCCTCTCCTATTCCCACTTCCTCCAGCTCCCCCCATGACTTCCTTGAGCAGGAAGGGGTACTTGTTCTTAGCCCCAGACAGAGCTGACCCCAGCTGTCTCCTGTCTTATGCTTCCTTTGAGCCCGTCTCTCTCCCCTGCTCTGAATGGCAGCCTGGTTTATCCACAACCTTGATTTCCAGTTTTCTTGTCTTTATCCCTGCTACTCCTCCCTCCAGAAAGGTTTCCTACCCACCTCAGCATATGCCAAACCAGACCAGGCTGCAGGGCCCAGTGTGAAGGCTGCCCCTTCCAGGAAGCTGCCCTTCCATTCATTCACTCCATTCATTCTATCACTTTTTGCTGTGCAGAATTTTATTTTAAAATAAATGGAAAAATCATCAGGTTTGGCGTGTATAAAGTCATTTTGTTTATTGCAAGGTTGAAATGGCAAGGCACACAAGGATGAAGACCTCAAGACGTTCATTTAGAACCAGAGAATCAGAAGAAACAATTATAGCGTTAGTCCGAATGTTAGAACCCCACTCTTTAGACTTCAGAGTTTCACCTTTTATAAGTGGTCTCAGGTGGGAGGTTTGACCATGATTTAAACTCAGCAGAGGTGCCTTGTAGTTAGGGTTCAAGGTTGACGATGTTTGTTGTTAAGTGCTATTGAGTTGGTTCTGACTTATAGCGACCCTGTATAAAGTTTCCAAGGAGCTGCAGGTGGGTTTGAACCACTGATCTTGTGGTTAGCAATAACATACAGTGCTACAGCAGACCGATGTCTGGAGTCTGAGTCTTCAGAGAGAGTCAGACTTGGGAGGGAGGTTCCATCTCTGTCTTCTTTCAGCAGGTGAGCAGAAATTTGGGGTTCATATATGAATTCCTCACTTTGACCTTCAAGATAAGAGCCAGTATGATGTCAAAGACTAATGTGCTATGTCTTCTCTTCAGGCTTAGGGAGTAGCCAAATGTCTCCGGTTTACTTCAAGGTTAGAGATTAAGGAGGTTTGTTTGGATTTATGATTCTAGGTTAGTTTACAATGATTGTTGTGTTATTAAGTGTTGTCGAGTTGGTTCCAACTCATAACAACCTTGTATAGGGTTTCCAAAGAGCAGCTGGTGTGTTTGAACCACCAACCTTGTGGTTAGCAACCCGGTGTTTATCCTATAGTATCACTAGGACTCCTTATAAAGATTAACTATATTGTTTTCTTTTATCACAGCAAGGTCAACTTTAAGGGTGTTTACCATATTCTTCAGGGTCCTGGAGTGACGCTTAGGGTAAGCACTCAACCTCAAGGTCGGTTTGAACCGCAAGGTCAGCAGTTCAAACTCACCAGCTATTCCTGGGAAACCCTATACAGGCTTGCTATGAATCGGAACCGACTCGATGACACTTAACAACAGCACCATATTATTCACATACTTCTGTGTGTCTCTAAGTTTAGAAGTGTTCTGCTTCTAAATCACATTAAGTAACATATGCATCTGTAGTTTAAGATCATTACAGAAGTGATGCTATTGTTATTGTTGTTGTTAAGTGCCATCGAATGGGTTCCAACTCATCGCGGCCCTGTATAGGGTTTCCAAAGAGTCATTTGGTGGGTTTGAACCACTGATTTTGTGGCTAATAGTCCAGTGCTTAAGAACAGCACAGAATTACATGTAATTGGAGGACTTTACAAAAAGTATACATAGCACCCTCTCTGTGCTCCCAGACAGAGCAAAGCTGAGCCACTAAACCATCCCCAGTTTGGGGGTGACAGATATCTCCAGCCTCTGATTTGCAGCTAGTCTCCTCCTCCCTCAGACTGGGAACTTCTTGAGATCAAGGATAGACATTGGACCCCTCTGTGATCCTCAGTTTCCCAATCAGGTCAATGGGCATGAGATCAAGGGGGCCAAGTGATGGGAAGGGGCATCTATTTATGTTTTATTCTAGACCCCCAGTCCCACTCTGCAGTAGACCCTCTCATTCCCTTTTGCAGATGAGGAAACAGACCTTAGACAGTAAGAACTTTTCAGTACCCTACAGAGAATGTGAACCAGGCTGGGTCCAGAACTGAGCCTTTTTGTCACCCAATACCAAGAACAGGCACACTCAAAGTCACCATTTTACTTCCTAAAATACTGTATAAAATAAACTTTTTATTTCGGAATAATTTTAGATTCTCAGAAAAGTTGCAAAACAGCCCAGAGGGTTCCTGTGCACTCTTCTGTTAGTTTCCCCCAATGTTAACATCTTACATGACCACAATACACTGTTACCACTACGAAATTAACATTGGCACCTTGTTAGTTACAAGGCTCCAGGTTTTTACTCAGTTTTCACCTGCTTTTCCATGAACGTCCTTTTTCTGTTGATGGATCCAGTCCAGGGTTGCACATTGCATTGATCAAAATATTTTTTTTGGTATTTAACATTTTTTATTGCGGTAAAATCTCTACAATATTGCTGTTGTTTGTTGTTAAGTGCTGTCAAGTCAGTTCTGACTCATAGTGACCCTGTATAGGGTTTCCGAGGAGTGGCTAGTGAATTTGAAATGCACTACACCAGGACTCCACACAACATTGTTGTTGTTAAGTGCCGTCGAGTTGTTTCCGACCCATAGCGACCCTGTACAGGGTTTCCAAGGGTGTAAATCTTTACGGGAGTAGATAGCCTCATTTTTTTCCCGCAGAGCGGCTGGTAGTTTCAAACCTTAAGGTTCGCAGCCCGATTCGTAACCACTACGCTACCAGAGCTCACTACATATAGTTTGCTATTTAACCATATTTTCATATTTTATTGTGATAAGATATATACAGAGTCCTTATGTGGCACTGTAGGATAAGCACTGGTTGGCTAACCATAAATTCAGCGATTCAAATCCACCAGCTACTCAGAAACCCCAACAGGGTCCTCATGAGTCAAAACCGACTTGATGGTACATAAGAACAAGATATGTACAACAAAACATTTACCAATTTAACTACTTACACACCTATACCTTACCTACTGATGATCATCTACCACTCAACTGTTTTGTGGACTCCTGGTGTGGTGTTGTAGGATCAGCCCTGGACTGTGAACCACAAGCTTGGCAGTTCAAACCCACCAGCTGCTCTTCGGAAACCCTATACAGGGTCGTTATGAGTCACAACCAACTTGACGGTACTTAACAACAACGATTTTGTACATTAATGTCGTCCCCCTGGCAATAAAGAATTCTAAGGAGCAAGGGTGAAAGAAGTGCTGGTTGTAATGGTTAAGGTTACGTGTCCATGTGTCCATTTGGATTCAAAGAAAGCTCATTAGCAAGCTGCGATATGCAGATGACACAAACTTACTTGCTGAAAGAGAAGAGGACTTGAAGCACCTGCTGATGAAGATGATAATAATAATACAGTCTTCAGTAGGGATTGCACCTCAATGTAAAGAACATAAAAATCCTCACAACTGGGCCAGTAAACAGCATCATAATAAATGAAGAAAAGATTGAAGTTTTTAAGGATTTCATTTCACTTGGATCCACAATCAATACTCATGGAAACAGCAGTCAAGAAATCAAATAATGTCTTATTGCATTGGACAAATCAGCTGCAAAAGACCTCTTTAAAGTGTTAAAAATGTCATTTTGAGGTGTAAGGTGCACCTGACCCAAGTTGTAGTATTTTCAGTAGCCTCATATGTGTGTGAAAACTGGAATAAGGAAGACCAGAGAAAAAGCGATGCATCTGAATCATGGTGTTAGTGAAGAATATGAAAAGTCCCATGGACTGCCAGAAGAACAAACAAATCTGTCTTGGAAGAAGTGTAGTCAGAATGCCCATTAGAAGCAAGGATTGCCAGACTTACACACTTTGGACATGTTATCAGGGTCAGCAAAATAGGGAAAGATCCTCCGCTTCCCTTAAAAAGGTACAGTGACTGCAATGATGAACAATTGTGAGGATGGCGTAGGACTGGGCAACATTTTGTTCAGTTATGCTTAGGGTCGCTAGGAGTTGCAGCTGACTTCGTGGCACCTAACAACAACATAGCTCATGGAAACCACAAATCTGCTTCTGTCTCTATGCGTTTGCCTATTCTAGATATTTCATATAAGTGAGACCATACAATATTTATTCTTTTGTGTCTGATTAATTTTACTCAGCATAATGCTTTTGAGATTCATCTACATTATTGATGTTGTTGTTATGTGCTGTGGAGTTGGTGCCGACTCATAGCGACCCTGTACAGGGTTTCCGAGGCTGCAAATCTTACGGGAGCAGAAAGCCTCATTTTTCTCCCACAAAACAGCTGGTAGTTTCGAACTGCTGACCTTGTGGTTCACAGCCTGATTCATAACCACTACACTACCAGAGCTCCTTTATTATGTTGTTGTTGTTGTTAAGTGCCATTGAGTCGGGTCCGACCCATAGCGACCCTGTACAGGGTTTCCGAGGGTGTAAATCTTTACGGGAGTAGAAAGCCTCATCTTTCTCCCGCGGAGTGACTGGTAGTTTCGAACCGCTGACCTTAAGGTTCGCAGCCCGATTCGTAACCACTACGCTACCAGAGCTCCTTTATTATAGCATGTGTTAAAATGTCATCTATCTTTTTGACTGAGTAATGTCCCATTGTATGTGCATATATCTTTTGTTTATTAATATATGTGTTGGTGGACATTTGTATTCTCTCTACCTTTTTTTTTTTAATGTTTTATTGTGAATTATATGATAGTTTACATGAGAGAACTTTAGTTTTACATTCATTCCATCTTATATCATCTCACTGCCATGGTTCCAATCCCCTCCATGCATCCTCAACCACCCAAAGGGTATATCCCAGAAACCCGCTCCCTCCTCCTCCCCCCAGTTTTAGGCCCACAGTCCCTTTCCCTCTCTGGGTCCAAAGTCCCCAGTCACTTCATCACTCCGTGTCATCATCTCTGTCTCCATCTCAGGCATCTCTGTTTCTCTTGGTAGGGTCCCGCTCTCGGCTCTTCTACGTTGATGGTCCCGGAGGCCTCCGCTCCTATCCTGGAGAATTAATCACTCCCTTCCTTGTTACAAAACTTCTACTTTTGCATTTCCAACCCTCATAGTCTGTCCTGATAAGCATTATTCACTACAGTATCACGAGTTACCCATCTGTATTTCCTTTCATCAGCTCTGCCCAGACAGATTGAATAGTACCCGCTGGAGATTCTGCCTTCCGCCATGCTCCCTAGCACCAGGTTCCCTCTTGAAAGCTTGTAAGCCAGTCGCTTCTTGCCTTTATAGTCCCCCCCTCCCCATTTGAGTATCCAATGTCCAAGCTGCCCTTCTCCGTCCACTCTGTGTATGTGTGTGTGGGTCTCTCTACCTTTTGACTTCCATGAGTGAAATGCTACAATGAGCAAAAAAAAAAAAATTTTTTTAAATTCTGAAATAATGAATATTTGTTTCAACACCAAAATGTAAAACAATTTATAAATATAATCTCATTCTAGGGTCACTGTGAACCTCAGGATGACGCTGGCTTAGGTGAGAATAATATTAATGACAACTACAGGAAGTCAGCATTGATTGAGCACCTATTGTATGCCCTGCCATGTCTGGTGCTCTGTTCTGTAGTTAAGTATTGGATTATCCCCATTCCATAGGTAAGGTCAGGAGATAGCCTGGTGGGGATTTGAACCTGGGGCAGGGGCAGAACTGGATGTAACTGGACACCTCATAATCACAGAGGCTCCCCTGCCCCCTCTATGTCCCCATCATTTAGCACATGGTTCTGCATATAGTTGGTACTCAATAAGTGTGCAATAGCTAAGAGACCACTGCTGAGCCCTGGGAACTGTGGGTGTGGGGGCAGCCCCACAGCCTAATGTCTGTTCTGCCTCTCCTCAGAGTCCTGCCTCTGCCCCCTGGAACAGGATACAGTCCAGGAATTCCAGCTGCGGCGGCGGAGGCGGCTCAGGTCCGAGGCCCCAGCAGGTCCCTGGAGCGAGTGGAGCAGTCCCGTGTGTGTCCCTGCTGGTGAGAAGTCCTGAGTTATGGGAAAGGGAGTTGTTGTTGTTGTTAAGTGCTGTGGAGTCGATTCTGACCCATAGCGACCCTGTATAGGGTTTCTGAGGAGCAGCTGGTGAGCTTGAACCACTGCCTTGCAGTTCAAATGGCTTTGCAGTCTGGCGCATTAACCCGTAGTGCCACACCAGGACTCCCTGGGAAAGGGAGTAGGTTTTGGAAGTAAGGCAGCTGGTGTTAGAAATAAGGCGGCAAGGGTTAGAAAGAAGGTACCAGGCATTAGAAATAAGATGGTGGGAGAAATGATTGCTGTTCTTTGGAGATGGGGTTGGGTTGAAGACCCTCAAACCCTCAGGACATGGTGCCTGAGCTCCACTGAGCCCATTGTAGTGCTCCGTCAAGTGGGAACCATCAGGCTGATCCTTATGGGTACCTTTCTCCCAAAGTGGTTCAATGAACAGCGGCCCCCAATCCAGGGCAAAGGGAACTGAGAAAGGGAGTTTCAAACTGTCAAAGAAAAAGTTGGGACAACTGGAAATCATGGATGATAATTATTCCTGGGGATAGGAATGGGGCCCCAGCCTTTGCTTCCAGGCCTTGTGGGCTGTTGCATCCTTCTGCCCCAAGTGCTAAGAAACAGCCCCTGGGATGGTTGTCACTGATTTGGGACCACTCTAACAATCCACGTGGATCCTGTGGCTTAGGGGAGGGAAGGAGACAATCACAGCACAGTTCTCTGTCTCATTGCAGCAGTCCCCCCCCAGCCCAAGATGAATTGCTCAGTGAAGTTACTTGGCCCAGATGGGAGGAGGCGGCTGACCCTAAAGGAGCAGGTATTGGGGTCACTGTAGGATAGCGGCTCATCCCGGGGTAGGAGGAAGGGAGCAAGTGGGAGATAGAAGGGATGAGACATGAAGTTCCCAGGGATCAGGTAGGTGGTGACTTTTACTATAAAGGTAATAGGGAGCCATGGAGGGTGTGTGAGCAGAGAATGGCCGTAGTTAGACTCAACTCCCTCTGGCTGCTGCTGGGGCGCAGACTGTATAGTGGGTAAGGGTGGAAACTGGGAGATCAAAGAGAAGATAGTCTGATCCAACTGAGACTGATAGTGGGCTGAGTCATGGGGAGGAAGTGAGATTTCTCTGAGTTCTGAAACAACTCACTAAGGAGAGTCTACTTAGCCCATTTTATCGAGCAGAAAACTGAGGCACAGAAGGAAACACTTGTCTGAGGCAGGGGTAACATAGTCACACATTCTACCCAGTGTCTTTACCACAATTGGCTTAGCTGGTGTGGTTCGACTAACAGCGACACCACCTGTGTCCCAGTAGAGCTATGCTCTATAGAACAGTTCTGCCCAGCACACACCCGGTCACTCCGAGTCAGAACTAACACAACAATAAAAATAATGGTCAGTGGAAGTGAACGCGTTTCTCAGCAGCCTTACCAGCATTGGCGGGGTTTTATGGTTTTTTTTGTTGCTGTTTTTTTAAAACAACGTTTAAAACTTTGGGTGCATGTAATTCTCTGTGACCCATGGGTGAATGAATCTGTCCTCTTGGGCCATGTGTATCCTGATGTCTGTCCATGGGACACTGAATGGTATTGAGCTCCCAGTAAGCTGTCTCTTATGCTTGCAGACACCACCCGAGTTTGAGCTTCCTGAAGGCTGCCGTAATGCACCCAGCATGGAGGTAACGTACCTCATTTACCTGCACATGCTGTCCTGCCCATGCCAGGCCAAGGCCACCAAGATTCTGCCCCTGAAGAGAAAGCTCATCCTCTCAGGTGCTGCCTACAATGTGACTGTCATCTCTCAGAATCTTTTTGGTCCTGGCCTCAACCAGACTTGTCTCATTGCTGCTGACAACCACACAGGTGCCTCCGCAGGTGAGTGGAGAGGGCAGTCGGGAGGGCCCCTCATACTATGAGTCATAGGCCCAAATATGTAAGGGGGTGTCTGATTTCAGGGTGTGTTTAAACACTTATTAATCAAGATATGCAACAGTATAATGCAATATTATAATGCTGTATCATGCAATCTCATAGCAAAGTACAACTCATTGGGCTGGATGCCTGCTTTTATCAATAAAGTTTTACTGAGACCAAGGTTAACATCAGAGTGAAGCAAAGTTTTGTGAAAGGGCAGAGTTGGATCCTGTCTTTATTTAAAATCTTATTATTTTGTTCATTTTATGTAGTTTTCTATCTTCATTTTTGTTGAAGTAAAATCCACTCCTGGTGTGGTGCTGTAGGCTGAGCACTGGACTGCAAACCACAAGGTTGGCAGTTCAAACCCACCAGCTGCTCCTCAGAAACCTTGTACAAGGTAGCTATGAGTTGGAACCAACTTGATGACACGTAACAACAACAAAATTCAAATAACAAAAGTAACCATTTCTAAGTGCACAATTCAATTGCTTTTGAATTGTACACTTAGAAATAGTTCATTTTGTTATGGGAAATTTGTTGTTTGTTGTTAAGTGCAGCACAGTGGTTAGGAATCGGGCTGCTAATCTCACAGTTAGCAGTTCAAAACTACCAGCAGTTTCTCGGGAGAAAGATGAGGCTTTCTGCTCCTGTAAAGATTTACAGCCTCAGAAACCCTATACAGGGTCACTATGAGTCGGAACCGATTCCGTGGCACATAACCACCAACCACCAAGTGTGCAATTTAGTTGCTTTTAATACATTCACAATGTTGTGCAACCACCAACTCTGTTTAGTTCCAGAACATTCTCAACAGCCCCAGTGCAAGCCCCACACCCGTTAACAGTCTCTCCCTACCCTTCCTCTTCCCCTGCCCCTAGTTTACTTTCTGTTCCTATGGATTTGCCATGGGCATTTCTTGAAAATGGAACCAGACAATCTGTCTGGATTCTTTCACTTAGTTTCATGTTTTTGAAGTACAGCAGTTTCATGTTTTAGCAGGTGTCAGGGAGCCTTGGTGGATTAAATGTTGGGCCGTTAATTGCAAGGTCAGAGGTTCAAACCCAGCAGCCACTCCCAGGGAGAAAGATGAGGCTGTTTGCTCCTGTAAAGATGTGTGATCTTGGAAACCTTACGGAGTAATTCTCTGTTCTGTAGCATCGCTGTGAGTCGAAATCAGTTCTATGCCAGTGAGTGTGGATTCAGGATTTGGAGCTCAGATAGCATAGTGGTTACGAATCGGGCTGTCAATCTCACAGTCAGCAGTTCGAAACTATCAGCCGTTCCTTGGGAGAAAGATGAGGCTTTAGATCACTATGAGTCGGAACCGACTCCATGGCACATAACAACAACCAGAGCTTCATTCCTTTTTATCAAGTCCTGGAGTGGCACTATAGGTCAAGCAAAAAAGGTCAGAGGTTCAAACCTCGCAGCCACTCCTCAGAAACTCTATGGTGGTGCTTGTGTGCCACCAAATTGGTTCAGACTCATAGTGACCCTGTAGAGGGTGTCTGAGGCTGTAAATCTTCACTGGAGCAGAAACCCTCATCTTTCCCCCACGGACAACCAATCTTGGGGTCAGCAGCTACCAGGTCTCCTTGGAAACCCTATCCAGGGTCGTTATGAGTAGGAACCAGCTCGACAACATTGAACAACAACCTAATATTCCATTGTATGGATGGACTACATTGTGTTTATACATTCATCTGTTGATAGACATTGGGGCTTTCTCCACTTTCATCTATTGTGAATAATGCTAAAGCATAATTTTTGCATTCGTTAAAAGAAATAGTGTGTTAAAAAATGGCTTATTTTGATACCTGAGTTTTTGCTGCCGCTTAAATTTTGTGCTCACACCAGATGCCTCACTTTCCTCCTGGTCCTGCTGTGCCCCCAGTACCAGCCTGAGGACAGGGCTGTTACAATTATGCCCATTTAAGAGAAGAAAAGACGGAGATTCAGAACAATAAAGCCAAACTCTTGTGGGTGGCCCCAAGCCAATGGCTCTTTCTCTCTCCTAAAATGGGGTAATCACAGTCCCACTTTATATCTAAGGGAGGACATTGTAGCAGAGCGCCAACGATCAAGCTGGGGACGCAGCTCAGTGCATTCCAACAGCTGCCTTCCTGCCATCTCTGTGCCCAGCTCCCAAGCAGTCCCCAATTAGGGTTGGGACTGGGCTAGAAGATGGAGTGGGGCAGCCCCTAATATGCGTCCCCCCATGGCTCACCCTCTCTTTCCAGAATCCGTGGCTTTGAATATCAGTGTTGGAGCCCAGGAGACCACAATGCACTGGGCAGGCAAGGCCCAGTCCACTTATTGCATTGAGTGGCAGCTCTATGACCAGGACAAGAGCTGGGCCACCTGCAACCTGGTGGATCCGCAGGCCCTGGATGCAGCTGGAATGGGTAAGGGAATGCTGGGCACCCTGTCTCTACTTCTGCATCCTCCATCAGCACTCCTGGTTGGCTCAAACCTTCAGGGATGGTTCAGATGGGGAGGGTGTCTGAGACCCAGAGAGATGGTGTCTCTTGGTCAAACTCATACAGCAGTGAGGACAGGTCCAGTCTTAAGACCCTTTCTGGGCATCTCAGTCCTCAGCCCTGAGCAGGTTGCACTCTGATGGGTAATGAATCACACATTCCAGGGTGTTTGTTAAACATTCACCTGCACCCGGGAAGGTGGCAGCTCACAAGATATGGGTGGCAAATTAATGAGGTTGCTGGAGGGAAAGGGGGTGTTGCTATGCAGTGCAGACAGCCTCCTTCTCCCCCACCTTCTCTCCTGGGCCCAGCTGTGACTCCAAGAAGCCCCAACTTAAAGGGGACAGAGCTGGACACAGACACTCTGACTCCATGGGGCAAGGCTGGGCTGGAGAAGGAAGACAGACTGAGAGAGACACATGGAAGGGGTCCTGGGAAAGGAGACAGTGGCACAGAGGCTTTGAAGCATGAATAGGAGTTCTCTAGGGGCTCTGTGCAGATGGTACCAAGGTGGGAATACAATCTATTTACTGACCTGGCCTTTGCTTGCCCTTCCAGTTACCCACAGCTGGAGCCGAGCACCAGGGACAGCGGAGCAGGAGGGGTGCTATCGGATCACCATTTTTGCCTCTGAGCACCCGAAGAAGCTCGCCTTTTGGTCCATGGTCCTATCTACCTACCACTTCTGGGGCAATGGTGAGTGGTCCAGACCTGTGGGATCAGCTCCCTGAATGAGTCAAGGGCGATCACACACACCTACTGTGGTCTGGTCAAGAGTGGTGGTGGTTCAGTGGGGGAATATTCTTGCCTGCCATGTTGGTGACCTGAGTTCAATTCCCAGATGAGGCAGTTCATGTGTAGCAGCCACCACTCTACTGTTATTGGAGGCGTACGTGTTGCAAGGATGCTAAGCATGTTTCAGTGGAGTTTCCAGACGAAGACAAACTAGAAAGAAAGGCCTGGCTACCTACTTCCAATAATCAGCCCAAGAAAATAGTATGGATCACAATGGTCTGATCCACACTGATCGTGGGGATGGTGCAGGAAGGCATAGGTCAAGGGCCAGCTCAGTGGCAGCTAACAACAATGGTGCTTCAGGCCCTGGTCAGAAGTCAGCTTGGTCAACTCCTAAGCTACTTTGAGTAGCATCATCCCATTTTATAGATACAAAAACTGAGGCTCAGAGAGGGAAAGTGACAACTACTAAGTGGTGGAGCCAGGATTCAAACTCATGAAGTAAGGGCTAAGCTGAAGAAGGGGGCTGGGTTGAGGGGATGTCACAGTGAAGGGATACTAGAGAAATGGTGTAAGGGCTTTGAAGCATGACTAAGTGTTCTCTAGAGGATCCCTGTCTGAGTCTCAGTTTTCTTTTCTATCAAATGGGACAGTGCTGCTCGAAGTAATTTAGGAATCAACTGAGCTGACTTCTGGCCACCTCATTCTGAGGCCAGGTTAATGTGTTCTTGGATGAATAGAAAATGCCGAAACTGTGCTCTTGGTGTTGATTATGGTGTTGGTGTGCCTTGCAGCCTCAGGGGCTGGGATCCCGGAGCATGTCTCAGTGAAGAAATATGGTAAAAACAGTGTATCGGTACACTGGACAAAGTCACTGCTGAGCTCCTGTCCTGGCATCCTGAAGGGACATGTTGTGAGCTGTCGGAATGAGGACAACAGCCAGGAGACAGGTACTTGAAGGAGTGTGGGAGCAGGCTAGGGGAGAAGCAGTTTGTGCTTGACTTCCATCTTCCTGTGTGACTGTGGGCCCCTCACTGTCCCTCTCTGGGCTTCCGTGGTCCCATCTGTAAAACAGAAGACTTGGACTCAAGGGCTTGGGTAGATCCTTTCAGGCCCACAGAGAAGATGGAGTCAGAATTTGAACCCAGGTCCACCCAACTCTGTGGCTACCGTTACCCTGTCCTTGAATGGTGATGGCGTTGGGTATATATGTAGGGAGGGCTCTTGATAACAAGTATGGCGGCTTTGTAGCTGACAATTCCTCACGTCCCTCTATCAGCAACTGACTTCCATTAGGTTTCATTTCACAGATGAGGAATCCCCTGCTCTATGATTGATTGAACAAGCCTGGACTCCTCCACTGCCCCTTCCTCATTGCTACAGAGTTGATTCTGACCCATGGCAATCCCCTGTGTTACAAAATGGGAACTGGGATCCACAGGGGTTTCTTGGCTCTAATCTTTATGTAAGCACATCGCCAATACTTTCTTCCAAGGCACAGCTGTTGGGGCCCAAATTGCCAACCAGTTAGTGTTGTTGTAGTTAATTTCCATTGAATTGGTTCCTAATCATAGTGACTCTGTAAAGGGTTCCCAAGGAGCCACTGGTGGATTTGAATCACTGACCCTGTGGTTTGCAGTCCACACCAGAACTCTGCTTAGTAGAAGCATGCAAAACATCTGGATCACCCAAGGATCTTTCTCTTGCCCCTTAGGGAAAGAAACAAAAACATCACAGGGAGAGTACCTGTTATGGTTTGAATGGTATCCCCACAAAACAGATATGTTAAGTTCTAACACATAAACCTGTGAATTTGACCTTGTTTGCAAACAGCTTTTGCAGATGTTATCCGTTGCATTGGAATACCTAGGTGGTGCAAATAGTTAATGCTCTTGGCTGCTAACCGAATGGCAGTTTGAGTCCACCTAGAGGCACCTCAGAAGAAAGCCCTGGCGATCTACTTCTGAAAAAATCAGCCGCTGAAAATCTTATAGAGCACAGTTCTTTTCTGACATGTATGAGGTTACTGGGAGTCAGAAATGACTTGCGGACGACTGATGATCAGTTATGCTAAAATGAGGTCACTCTGGATTACGTCATGCTAGGTAAAGTAGAGGGTCAGCATGAAAAAGACAAAAGAGGAAGGCCCTCAAGGAGATGGATTAATATAGTGGCTACAACATGGGCTCAAACATAGGTCACTGTGAGTAGAACCAGCTTAATAGCACCTCACAACGACAATCCCATCTGACTGGTGCCCTTATACAAGAAGAGACAGACGAGAAGGAACACAGAGACAGGCCCAGGGAAGACAGCCATGTGAAAAGTCATCTACAAGTCAAGGAATGCCTGGGGCTACCAGAAGCTGAAGAGACAAGGAAGGAAGGAACATGCCCTACCCACAGCCTGATTTTGGACTTCTGGCCTCCAGAATGGTGAGAAAATAGGTGTCTGTTCTTCTAAGTCCTCCAGTTTGTGGTAGTTTGTTATGGTGACCCCAAGGAAACGCTGAGTGTCCCACTTCCTATCCTACCTGAAACAGGGCTGACGAGGGGTGGAGTCTTCTCAAGGTTTCACAATTTGCCCCTCACCCCTACCTCCCTGACAAGTTACACAGCCTTGCAGATAAGGCCTCGCCTGCCCATTTCAGGAAGCCAGAGACTGGGTCAGCAACAGCACGGGGTCCTGTCTTGCTTCACACTGTGGTACCCACACAGGGACAGGCCAGAATGATTGGAGGTACTTCAGCACCAAAGACATAGACCTGCTGCCTTCAGCTTGGCCACCCCCACATTGTCTGAAGGGGAAACTGAGGCCACTTGGAGTTCCATGGCTATTTTGGTTTCCTGGAGCTGTGATTACAAATTTCCACAAGTTGAGTGATTTAGAAGACAGATACATGCTTTCATAGTTCTGAAGGCCAGAAGTCTGAAGTCAAGGTGTCGAAGCTCATTCCCTGGAAGCTGTAAGGGACCATGCTTCCTTGTCTCTTCCAGCCTCTGCTACACATTGCCATCTCTCTGTGACTCTGTCTCCTCTTTTATAAAGACAACACTCAGGTAGGATTAGGACCTATCCTACTCTGTGGTGACCTCGTGTTACCCTAACTGATACATCGTTAAAGATCCTATTTCTAAACAATGTCAGGTTCACAGCTTAGGAGTTTAGCTTATCTTTTTGAGGGGGACGCAGTCCAATCCATTGTTATTGCTAAGTGCTGCCGAGTCAGTTCCCACTAAGTGCTGAGGAGCAGCTGGTGAGTTTGAACCATTGACCTTGCGATTGAGTGTATAGTTTCGTCTTCATGCAAGTCAGCACCTATATTCCCATTTTAAAGGGGTTTTAAGGAGTATTTTCTTTGTTTAATTCATTCAATTCCACCAACACTTTCTGAAAACGTTCTGTGTTTGATTCTTGTCTGAGGCCCTGGGGACACCCAGGGAACAAGAAAGACAAAGTTAGCTCTACTCCTAAAGCCTTGAAGGTGAGGGAAGAAACCATGTGGGTATCTGGAGAAAGAGTGTATTTCATGACAGGAACCACTGGTGCAAAGTCCTGAGAATAGAATGGAGCTTGCTGCCTTCTTGGATCTGGGAGGAGGCGGATGTGTCCCCCTCTCACATGTGGTACCTCAGTGGGGACTCCACCGGAATTGGGAGCATCCCACAGCTGATCCTGGCCTCTTGAGAGCAGAGGGCTTCTTGGGGCCTACAGTTACTTCCCTCCACCCCTTTCCTCTCCTCCCCAACTCCCCCCACACCCCCCTGCAGAGCACACAGTGAATGCCTCAGAGACTCAGATCACCCTCCGTGACCTGCAGCCCGGTGTAACCTACACGGTGCGGGTTCGAGCAGACACAGTGTCAACACGCGGCGCTTGGAGCAAGCCACAATGGTTCCACATTGGTGAGTGGGGGTGGGGGAGAGATGGCTAGGCCCACCGTCCAGCTGCACTATCCTGACCTCACCCCAGTTCACAAAGGAATCCGACCATCCCTCCTGGGATCTCCCTGTCTTCCCGCCTTGTCTGCTGCAGCTGTCCTGGCAAAACTTCTCTCACACAAGAGGGGGTGGGGAATTGGGGTCCTCCAATACAGGATGCTTTTCAACCTTCAAAACCCACTTCAAAATTTCCCTCCTCCAGGAAGCTTTCCCCAACTCCCTCCCTGTGGGCCCCTCCAGCAGCTGCTGTCCCACTGCCCTGCCCTCCCCAGCTAGGAGCTCCTGGGAAACTGTAGAGGAGCACTGTGGAATAAATGAATGAATGAGTGTCTCTCCCATCTCAAGGAGAGGCAGAGTCTCCATCATCTTGGGGTTCATGGTGACAAGAGATTCGAGCCCAATGATCCCTTGTCTTGCTGTAGTTCCCTCCCACTGTCCTAGCAGTGCAATCTGGCCCCAAGATAACCAGAGTCCGGACTGCAGTTGGGCTGGGTGCAGAGTGAGGAACCCAGGGATAGAAGCCACAGGGACCCAGACTACAGGCACCTCTGGGCAGGAGGGGTCCATGGTACCCACAACACAGATGAGGAAACTGAGGCACAGAGGGACCCATGGCACACCACGCACAACAGCGAGTCGATGGAGAGCCTGACCCACATCTGCTCCAGTCCCCTCCCTCCCTAGCCTGGAGACTTCCACCCCCTTTAGCATCAGGTGATGCCTCTCTAACCCCTAGCTCTCTTGCCCCCTAGAAGTACAGGTCTCGGATTTTTTCATTTTCCTGGTGTCGCTGGGCAGCTTCATGGGCATTCTCATCCTGGGCATCTTCGGGTACTTAAGCCTGAAAAGGTAACTTGCAACCCTCACCCGTGAAGGGATCAGTAATGATAACTTAAATGATAGCAATCATTGCACATACTTGAGGAGGTATTTGCTTGTGCCCATTTTACAGATGAGAAAACAGGCATAGGTGGGCAGGACTAGGCCCAGAAGTGAGGACAGACCTGGGTCTGTCGGACTCCAGCCCCACACCAAATCTACATCCTTAGTGACGTTTATGATCTAATAGTGGTGAAAGAACTCAAGTCAGAACAATTAAAAAGCAAAAATGAAAAAAATTAATTCAGACGAATTCAAGAGTAAGAACATGGTTCCCGAATGGCTCCCTTCTTCCCTCCTTAGGGCCGTGAGGTGCCTGTGCCCACCCTTGCCCACACCCTATGCCAGTACTGCTGTTGAGTTCTCTGGCAGCCAGGGGAAACAGGTAAGTACTGTTTTTCTAATTACAGTTTCTACTTATTGGAACTACACTCTGGGCTCTGGTGAGCAATGACTACGCATTAGTTCATTTTTATCTTCCCTCAACTCATTGCAGTATTGCAAAAACCATGTGGGAGCCATGTCTGACTTCCTCTGGCTTCACAAGAGGGAGCGAAGTAGAATCAAACTCAAAACCAGCCCAAGGTCGATTCCTCTGAACAGGCAGTCAAATAATGCTTCCACCCTACCACCTTCTTTATCCTATTCTGACACCAACCATTGCTCCCATAGCACTCTCTGCTTCCCATCTGGGTTCGATAACCCACTGCAATAGCCACACAGATCTCATAACAATACTCACGATTATGGGGTTTATTAGGGAAGTGACTAGAGTACAATTCAGGATCAGAGACAACTCACGATGCAGCAGTTTTCCAGTCAGGAACACCTCTTGTCTGCCAGACTGCAGGCATGCCTCACTCTTGTCTCCAACCTCTCAGCCTTGTGGTCCCTTGGCCTCTGCCTTGCTCCGGCAAGCATTACAGAGCTCTTTTAGCCAGCCTGTGATGGCCCAAAGGACATATTCTACAAGCCAGCCTCCTGCCTGTAGGCACTCAGCTTTGCTCAATCCATGGACCTAGAAGCCTGCAACTGCTCTGTCTCTCCTTGACACTGCTTCGCTGCCACCTCTGCTGTGGCCACCTTTCTAGGTAGAGATCTCATACTCCATTCATGCTTTTCTTTCTTCATGGTCCTGGGATCGTCTGTCCTGCTTTTGAAAGATGGCTCCTTTTAAACCTAGTGAGCTGGGCAAGACTAAACCATCCTAATGTTAGAGTCCTGTTTGCATGGTCCCACCCAGTCACTTTATGGGAATTAAGATGACATTTGATAGAAAAGCCAGATCAAGTCAATTCAAGGTACCACAGCTATGCACTCTAAAACCAGCACTCTAACCCCCTTCCCACTTAATAGACAGGCAGGCAGAGGACCAGAGAGGAACCATCTGCCAGTCACTCCCTAGTGACAAAAATAGGGCTAAAAGTGGCTTCAACAACAACAAAAAAGTCAATGGAAAAATCCTAGGGTGGTGGACTTCAGGCATGGTTAGACCCAAAGATTCAGCTACTATCTACTCTACAAGAAGTCTCGTCCCCCCCCCCACCCCCCCCACTAAGTTGGTGACAAAGAGGCTTCTAGATCTCCAGGCTTCCTGCCCAATGGGAACCAAAACCAAAGCCAAACCTATGGTCATCAAGTCAATTCGGACTTATAGTGTCCCTCTGAGCATAGTCTGAGTAGAATTGCTCTTCAGGGGTTCTGAGACCAAATCTTTATGCGAACAGCCAGCCTCATCTTTCTCCCTTAACAGCCAACAGCTTAGCCCACGAAGTCACCAGGAATCCTCAGTGGAAACAGGGTACCCTTTCCCTGCAATTAGAATGAAAATTCCAGGGCCATCTCTGACTGGCCAATGCGTGTCACATGTTCATCTCTGAGTCTATCACTAGAACCAGGGGGCTAGGATGCTCTGATTGGGACAGGGTTACACACCCATCTCAAGAACTGAGGTTGAGGTACCACCCACCCAAGAATGTCCAGCTTTAGAGGTAGTACTATTCCCCAGTAAGAAATGGGAATATTTTTCCTAAGAGGGGGCTGGATGGAGGCTATTGGGGCAGAGTCCAGACCTAAACCTGGTTTTAGAATCTTAGAGAATTTAACTGCCGGGACCCTGTGTGGGTGGGAAACAGGGACCCACGCCCAGCCTTGGTCCCACCCTCCCTTCCAGGTTTGGCAATGGACCAAGCCAGAGAGTTTCTCAGAAGAGGCACCCACACAAGAGGCCCTGGTGGTGGAGACCTTCTGGGACAAAAGCGAGGGGAATGAACTGGATACAACTTGGTCTCTTGAGGAGCTAGCCCCTGAGGCCCAGGCTGAGGCTCCGGGGTCCAACAGACAGGGTGGTCTGGCGGAGGAGCAGCCACTGCTCGTAAAAGATCTAATGCAGAGTCTTAGACTCGGAGACACTCAGCACGTGGAGGCCTGAGGGCTAGGTGTCAGCAGGATACATGGATGATCACAGTCATGAAGCCTGGTGATTAGGTTCTGATTGCACACCTGGTCCCCATCTAGCCAGACACAACATTCTCACAACCATCCAGTACTATGGCTGCCCTATTTTACAGATGGGACACTGAGACACAGAGAGGGAGGTGACTCTCCTGAGGCCACAGCCCTGACAGGAATCAACCCTGACTGTAGCCCCTCACAGGCTCAGACGCTCCCACCCCTCTGGCCCGCTGATGTAGTCCCTATTGCGACATATCCTGGGGCAGGAAACCCTAGCAAGCGCCCCAAGGGGAAGCTGCTGCCAGGATCAGGCCTGGTAACCATGGGCAGATGGGCGCGGTCTAGCCTTAGGGCTAGAAGGGCCACCTACACTGTGTGGCTGGCAAAGTTGGGTTCGGGAACATTGGGAACAGGAGTAAGGGATCAGAACCCCTAGTACCTTGTGGGATCTCTAGCCCGATGGTTTCAGGTGTGGGGAATGAGATGGTTCCTCCCCTGCCACAGTATTTTCCCTGGTGAAATGGGGGTAATAGAACAATAAACAAACGTCTGCAACATATCTCCACCCTGGCTGAAGCTTGAATAGCCTGTTCAAAATCCTTAAAGAGGAACCTGAGAATTGATTATTTCTTCATTCCACAAACATTTATGCATCTCCCGTTTGAATGCAGCCTGTGGGAGATGAGTCAGACACACTCCTCCTCCACTACACACCCGTGTCCCTTCCCCCGACCACTAGGCCTCGCCCCAGGGCTTTTTGACTCTGCCATCGGGACCCCTGACAGTCCCCACGGGTTTCCATGGGCCGTGCCCACGGAGGCTACAGGGGTTTCTTCAAAAACTCCAGGGGCAGAAGTGTAGGCACCGATATCCCCTGTGGCCACCAGGTGGCAGCAGCTGCACGTGTCTCCCCAGCCAAGCAGCCTGCCTTCTCCGTTTCCTGTGTATTAAGAAAAGAGACTTTTCTGATTCCTTGTTAGCAATCGCGATGAAGGCAAATCCATGTAGACACGCTGTCTGGTTCTACACCAGAGCTGTGAGCACTTGGGGAGTGGACTGTTGTGATACATAGGAGTTTTTTTGGTTGATTTTCAGAAGGCGGTTGCCAGGTTTTTCCTCCTAGTTGTTATTAGTTGGAAAACGCTCCTGAAACCTGTTCAACCTTCTAGTAACACACAAACCACTACGGACAGATGGGGCTGGGGTGTGTGTATCCGCACATGAGACATACTTGCTGGAATTGAGCCCAGGTCACCCTCACTGTGGTGGTTGTGAAGTGCCATCGAGTCGGTTCCTACCCATAGTGACCCTGAACAGGGTTTCCGAGGCTGTAAATCTTTATGGGAACAGAAAATCTCATTTTTCTCCCGTGGAACAGCTAGTGGTTTCGAACTGCTGACCTTGCGGTTCGCAGGCCAATTCGTAACCACTACGCTACCAGAGCTCCTTACCAGAGCCCTCATAGAAGGCAAAAATTCCACCACTGAACGTAACCACTGATGCCTGTTAACTGGGGAAGGAGATTAAAATCTAGCGGCATTAACTTTGAGGGCAAAGGAGATGAGGCTTCCAGGGGAGAGCAGGCTGGGAGAAAGGAGGGCTGGTCCAAGTCTTGTACCTCTGTGGCCTCAGTTTCCCCAGGCCCTGGTGAGTCAGTTGCATGTGACTCTTTGCTATCCCAAGAATGTTCTGGGATCAGCTGCCTCCTGGCTTTTGTGCAGGCTTCGCCCTCCTTTTCATTCCTTCTATAGCTCTGGCTTGAATTCGGCTGGAAATTTCCAGCAGTTCCCTATCCATGCAGCGCTGCAAGCATTTTTTTTAAAATTATCTTCAGCAAAATTTTGAATCAAGTTGGATTCAGAAGAGGAAGTGGAATGAGGGATATCCCGCTGATGTTAGATGGAGAAACACATAGACCAAGAGGATGTCCCTAGAACAGAACAATTGGATACTATGAGGTTTAAAATAAAGAAAAGTGTATGGAAGAGTTGTATCCTTTCTCCATACTTTTTCTATTTATGTGCTAAGCAAATAATCCAAGAATCTGGAATCTATGAAGAAGAATATGGCATCAGGACTGAAGGAAGACTCATGAACAATCTGTGATAATGCAGATGGCATGACCTTGCTTACTGAAAGTGAAGAAGACTTTGAAGCACTGATGAAGATGGAAGAAAACTGTCTTCAATGTAAAGAAAACAGAAATATTCACAACTGGACCAATAAACAACATCAGGATAAACTTAGAAAAGACGGAAGCGTTCAAGGATTTCATTTCACTTGGATCCACAACCAACACCTAGGGAAGCAGCAGTCAAAAAATCTAAACGAGATATTCATTAGGCAAAGCTGCTGTATAAGGACCTCTTTTAAGTATAAAACAAAACAAAACCAAAGATGTGATTTTGAAGACTAAGGTGTGTCTGACCTAAGAAATGGTATTTTCAATAGTCTAATATGAGGAGCTCTGGTAGCATAGTGGTTACGAATCAGGCTGCGAACCTTAAGGTCAGCGGTTTGAAACTACCAGCCGCTCCACGGGAGAAAGATGAGGCTTTCT